AAGAAATTGTGACCCAGTTGGAAGAAACAGTCTTTAAAAAATATCACTACTAATCTAGCAAAATTATAATTTTTTATATTATATATAAAATATTTCTTTACTGTTACCTCTGCTCCTTTTAAGTCCTTCAAAGAGCGGTCTTTTCTCTATCCCATTCAAATGAAATAAACTCCTTTGCTTTGTCTCTCTTTGCCTTTATAGACAGGCCAGTCTGTCATGCCCTGTTCTATTGATTATCTGTTCAGAGACAGTCTTCCTTTCAGAGAATTGGCAAAGTTGTATGAAATGTGGGAACAGATAGAGAAAGACATCTAGGGATAGTGTGAGAAAGCCAAGACACTTTAGAAAGGTCAGCAAAAATATTGTCTCCCTGTCTGCTGGTATAAGTAGACTTTTGTTTAAAATCCAGTCTTTTGAGAAATGCTTGGTGTTTCTGTGCACCTTTGATACATGAGCCTTAACTCTGAGTAATAGTTACTTAAAGGATTTACAATCCTTCTATAAGATGAAGGATTTTATAGGTGAGAAGTGGAGGCAGAGACTGCAGGCAACAGAAAAGAACTGAGGAGCCTGTCTCCTGCACTTCACCTGGGGTTTTATTTCTTTGTTTTTGTCCCTATATGGCAAAAAAATGACATTTAAGTCCCCCAGCCTCAGAAACCACCTGGTTCTCCCAACTGTATGTAAAAATGCTGATTCTGAAAAAAGAAAAAACCTATTTCATTATCCCCCGTCCTTATTTGTTTTTTTAATTCTTGGATATCCCAACTCTGTTTCTAGTAAAGCAAATTGTTCCAGTTATGGTGGAACAACACAAGTGTTCTCAGAGAAATACTGCAAAACTTATTTTTAAAAGCACTCGGCCACAGCAATGATGAATTTTCTTCTCTCATCATTTGATCCAGGAGATTCCCCCCTGCATGTCATGGCTTATGGAGGCAGGAAATTTGCTGCTACCCATGAAGTGCTCTGCAGGCCATCTGTTTGTCTGCTGCTGTGATGGCTCTTTGGGCTTCCTCCTCCTCTTTTGCCTCCCAGGAAAAAAAAACAGATTTAGCAGTTCACTTGATGGCTGACTCCAATTTTAAAATCAATTAAATAGCAAACCACAATATCTCTCCATCTTTGAGCTCAGGTGAAGGCACCCAAACTTCTGGGCACTGCCATGGGGGAAAACTGCTGAGATGCAGACTTATCTCAAATTACTGGCAATGAGGAAAGCAGCTATTTACAGCACCCTTGAGAGCCATGGTGAGAAACTCTGTGTCACTGAGGTCCATGGGAGTCCTGCATTCATGACAGAAGTTTACCCACAGAGGGCAGGTGGCCAAATAAAGGCCCTTCCACCTTGACACTCATCCCACAGAGCGTGTCCATCCCTGGGGTGACGCCGGCTGGCAAGTGTTATGCATTTACACACTTCTGATTTTGGGGCAGCAGTGGGGTGGCAGAGACTCGAGAGGACCCCCTGCAGCAGTGCTGCTGCCAGGGTGGCTGCTTGCAGGCTGCAAACTCTGCCTTGGTGCCAGCAAATTGTCAGCCTGCTGCCACCCCATTGCTGCCAAAATGGTACATAGGAACGCTTGTTTTCACGCTGCTTCTATGAATCTCTCAATAGATACAAACTGAAATAGAGCACAAATCTCCAGTTCTGTATTAAATGCAGTGCAGGTAAGTTGCTGATGTTTGTGAAGTGCTTTTAGGCTGTGGCTTAAGTGGTGCCCCAACCAGGCCAAGTGCTTTTGAAGCCTTCTTAACATCACACCGAATTTGCTTATTAATTTTCAAGTTGTGTTCTATTTTAAAATACATTCGTGAATCTCGGTGAAATCCATGTGGTAACCCAACACCCTTTCTCAGTACATATTTAACAAGCTAAAGAAAGCTAGTTTGACACTGAATTCATATATTTAATGTTTTAGAAAACAGCTGCATGTATTTTTTAAAATGTGCAGTTCCAGCCCCTTTCTACATAGACCTCTTTCATTGAGCCATCTAATTCTGTTGCAAACATGAGATAGTTGTGTAATTTACTATAAATAAAGACTGCTGTGGAAACTTATTCACCTTGATAATGCCAGGTAACCACTTAGCCTGAGGAATTCAGCACCTTTTTAAAAACAAACAAAAAGCCCGTGCCAAGATGGTGACAGTGACTTGCCAGTTAAACAGAAATGATGGAGAAGTCAAAGCTGATGGTTAACACTCCCCAGAAAATGAACTTTGCTGCAGTTGTTACTCCTGGGCTGGGAACAGTAAAATAAAGAGCTCTTTTGCAGAGATGCAGCTGTCCTGCTGATGCTTCCACAGATCCAGCATCATGCACAAAAGCAGCAGAGCTGCAAAGCCCTGAATTCAGCAGCAGCTCTTCGTACCAAAGCTTGCAAGATTCAGTGATGTTCCTCCCACCGGAAAATGTTATTTTGTGGTCTGTAATTCACCTCCTGGAGATACAGCAATATATCCAGGTGTTGCTAAAAATATGGTCCTTCATTTCCTTCTGGCAGGTTAGAATAGTAAGGAATATTAATAAGGTGTGGGTTTTTTTTTTTTCCCTTCCAGATACAATGTGCCACCCACGAATTAAAAGAGAAATAGGGGTTTTTTTAACCTGATGTTTAGTTTAGGATAATGTTGAATTTCCATCAGGCCTTGGACAACCTGGTGAACACTTTCCTAAAAATAGGAATTATCTGGGGATTCCTTGCATCAGAGGGCTAATGGGTCGTTGAAAACTTGACATAAGAAGTAAACTATAAATATGAAATTTTTGTCACAGTCCCAGTGATTTTTGGCAAAACGTCCTGTTGCTTAGGAGCTGGATAGTTTGCATCTATTTTACTCATGTCCTTCCAGAATTACTTGACAAAGCTGCTTATTTCCCCCTGTAGAGCAAAGGAGTCTCACTGACACAACTTCAATTTTTTATATCAGCTGAACATGTAGAGATCCCTCTTTCCACCCAACTGCTAGTCCATCACTGCTAAGAAGAAATAAATGTATTCTGCCAAAACTTTTCAGTGGACTCAGCTTGGTGATGCTTGCAGGTAACTAGACACCAAATCACCTCAGGATAACCATGCTAAAGACAGAAATGCATTCTTTCAAGCACAGTTTCTCAAAGCTTTTGAAGGTACAGCTAATTTCTGATTGATCTCTGAAGACCTGGATAGTGGTTACAATTTCACGATTTTTTTTTTTATTTCTAACACTTCAGAATCTTTTTTCAGCCCCATTCTGATCCATAGTTTGAAAAAATAATACTTTAAAAAACAATCTCTGGTGGGCAGCTTTCACCAGAGATCATTGTGATCAAGAAATAACTTACTGACAATAATTTGGTTTTGAATTTCTCAAACCTTTTCCTCTGAGCAATTTAAAGCACTTAGCATCACAATGACTGTAATATACAATTTTTAAGCTGTTTTTCTTTAAACTGAATGAGAATGTAGAATTCAGTAGGTTGTGAGAGATTTAATTTTTGGTTTATTGAGATAGGACTGTTGTCTGCACAAAAGCTTTGTGTTGCAACCATTGAATTCCTGAGGGGCACAGTAATTTGCAACTGTATTCATTTGTAAAACAGAAGCAAATGTCAAGTCTAGTACAGCAAAAAGGGCATGGGGCCTTCATAATGGGGAAAAAATAATAAACCTTGCAGCTTGTTAATAACTTTGTTTGTGTGCTTAAACAAGGCAAAAAGGATGCTTTTGCATGCAGTGTCCCTGGAAGAAGTTAATGAACTTGGACTACGCTGAGAGAGAACACTTTATACACTTCTTGTCAAGTTCTTAAAATGATGTAATAGTGACAGAGATGTGAAGTACTAAAACTAATAATATTAATAGAACATTATACTGAACATCCCCCTGTGCAGCACAAGGCAGGTGACACATAATTCGCTGATGAATATATATTGATAGTAGCAGATAAAAGAATGTATTTGAGTTCAGGTTGTTCTGAGATTTGTTTTCCCAAGATGAGGTTTCTGATGTCTGTCATCTGTTCATCTTGTCAGATAAAAATACTAGTATGATCCCGGATATTTTGCTTTTTTGAAAGGGCTACCTGGGTTCAGTAATAGAAGATATTAAACTTTGGCTTTGCTGTGCAAGTTTATGGCATTCTCTGTTTCCTTAGTGAGACCTCTTAGAGAAAGAACATTAATAAAGAAAAAGATATTTAACTGTATGATCTGCATTGGAGCCTGCAAAGAAAGGTCAGGAAGGAGACAGAAACACGTTGTTGAAGAAAATGAATTTCCCAGCCCTTTACTTCATGAAGGTTTCAACTTGCACTTCTTGGCCCAGATCTGTTCTGGTACAGAGCATTTAAATATAAACTAACTTAAGAAACTAAGAAATTTGACCTTGGCAAAAATTTTAAGTCAGGCCTCTGTTGGACATGTTTTTTGAGATATCTGAGCCAGCTTCTTGAAAGTGCCAGACCCAACAGAGCTAAGTGGGAGCAGTGTAAGAGACATGTGGATGCTCTTTTGATGGTTGGTGCCCCTATCTGGTCACCCAAAAAGTGAGACACAATATATGTTCAAAAGTGAGGACAAAAAGACTTACCTAAGTCTGTGTCTAGCGACAGTAAGAACCTACAATTTTTTTTCCCCTGAATTTTTAAGGTTTGTATTCCAGTCATTCTCTAGCAGATGATTGTTTGGGCTATTCAAAAGCAGAAAACTGATTGCACACTAAATAATCTGCAGATTGAAAAAGCAAATTGAAAAAGCAAATTGATTTCAATGGCAAAATTCCCACGGACCTGTGTGGGCAGAAACGTGCCCCATGCAGTAATTCAGCTTTTGACTGAGCGTGTTACTGCTTCTCTCTTCTGCTGCCTTAGGTAACAATTTGTTCCAGCTTTAAATGACCACAGAGAAGCTTTGCACAGCAAATTTAAAGGTTGACTACGGCTTGCAACTTTATAAATTTCCATTATTTCAGCCCTGCTATTACATACAGCACACAATGCTTAATCAAATAACCTACCTAGCGTTGGATCGTACTCCCAGATGAACCGTTTGGTCAGGAAGCGCACGACAAGAGCTGGAGAGACAAAGATTTCAGGTGAGAAACACAAGACAACAACTCGACAGTTTTTTAGGGGTTTTTTAAGCTTTCCCAGCAAAGTTTTCCATGTAAAGGGACATGGAGCAGAATTCAGTGTCGCTTATTGTAGCAGCTGAGAGCTTTTCACTGTTCGTGGCCCACTCTACACTTTAGGAGTGTGGAAAAAAAATGAAAATAAAAACAAAACTCTTTACAGCATTCATCAATTACCCACCTAACAATGCAAGGAGGTTTTGACGGTACTTTCTAATTTTTTCCACTTTTTTTTTTTTTATTTTTTTTGGTCACAGTAGCTTCTACCATTAAAGAACCAAAACAACCCCATTTCCAATGCTATGAGCAGATGACCTTCAGAAAAAAACATTACTTTGGATGCTTTAGGTTTTCTATAAGCAGTAGAAAAAGAGCTGGCAGTTTTTGAACCAGGATGCTTCGATGCTTCAAAGTGAGGTTTGTTCAAAATTTCATTCTTGAAAACTTCCTCTTCAGACTGTAAATCTTCTAAGGCAGAATTAATTGGTTAAATAGCTTCCTTCTCTATTTTGGCATGCCTTCCTTGTAACAATTTAACTTCTATGTTTTGCCTACTTGTCACTTGAAGCAAACAGCTATAATATTTTAAACCAACGGTCAACAAATGCTATTAATCAATTTGCAGAAATAAAGAAGAAAGTTTAGATTTTGGAGTGCTGGACTAGCTAGTTCCTAGTTTCAGTTTATAGGCTAAGATTTTGCTACTTATGTTCTTATATTTAATTTTTTTCTATCCCTCCACCCCTTTTAAAAGCAACTTATATAGACTTTGATTATGTTCAAATTTAAAACTAAGCAGTGCTTTGAATTTCTAGTGGAATTCCAGTTAATTTCATTTCTAGTAAATGAACCATTTACTACAGCCAACTATTCAAAATCCTTTCTGCATTTCCAAGATGAAGCCAGAGATTTCACTGCACTAGCTATGATTGCAGCCATTACAGCTGTAGAAAAAGCTTTCCCTGTAGGATTGGTCATTCTTTTGGTTACAGATGGACAGTAAAAGGTGACAGCTAAACTCAGTTCTAACCCTTTTCAAAATGAAAGCCGTGAGAATGCCCTACATCCCAGATTTCGGTGCCCAAGAGCAGGAGAAGGCAACAGTCTGAAGAATAAATCTAATGAATTAAGATTTGCTTAATCAGACAAACAGAAATTAGTTTTCAGAAGATTAACTATGTCTCATACTTGGAGGGGTAATAAGAAGCTGGTCATAAGGAAATGAGATCACCACACAAGAGGCAATTTTAAATTGGTGTTATTTTAAGTTTCTATTTTCCTTAGGAAATACTACTTTTTCTTTTTTTTTTTTTTTTTAACCTTGGCAGAAATGCTCTCCTTGTCCCTCAGAGTAGATGTGGCAATTCTTAGTTGAAAGGCAGAAGAGAGTGGGGGAATCTGTCCAACTATTTTTATATTTAAAAATGGCCCACTTAGTTGCTACAGCCTTATACTTACAGATGGAAATTGTTGGAGAGGAGGGTCAAAATGCTGAAGAGGACTGGAAGAAAGTCTCTCATGCACTAATGTCTAGGGCAGGTGATAGAAAGCAGCAGCTCTGAAGGAGTGGAGAGAGAAGAGCTGATTTTGGAGGTAGCCCAAAAGAAGGAAGTGAGAAGGTGACAAGCAATGAGAAGGAAAAGTAGAACTGGACTGCAGCTCCTGAGGTGAGCCTGGGAGGAGGAAGGTACAGCTTTGTACAGAGGATGAACTGGTACAGGTGTGGAGTGCTGCAAAGGTGAAGAATTAAAGATCACAGATCTAAGCTCTGGTGAGAAGGGAAAAAACAGGTTGTACTTGCCTCCAGCATATACAGATACATAAATAATCACATATCCAGGAGATAGCTGAAGTAAAGAAATGAAGGTGGCTGCCACACACAGGGCCAGATGGCAATTAAGTCTCCCCGCTGGCAGGTCTCAGCAGGGAGCACAAAAAGCTCAGTGAGCTTGCTGGGCACTGCCAGTAATGAAGTACTAGCATAAGGCTTGCTTGGGCCTGGGGAAGGGAAGAAAAAAACACCTCAGTACAACCCCAGGTGAGTGGGGAAGTGTCAGCTTCAGAGCCATGTACTCTGTTCCAGTTCTGGGGGCGTGCACCTCGGGGCTGTGCAGAGCTGCTGCTCCTGCAGGGCTGGCTCTGCTCAGCCTCCCCTCCTCTGACCCAGCCAATTACTTCAAAATACTCCTGCTCTCTTTCATGGCAATGATCACAGCCCATCCTATAAAGCTTTTCACCTCCACACATTTTCATGAGGCTGAAGATTAGCAGCTAGCTGCATTTCACAGGTGGGGAATGTGAGATACTCTTGATCTGGAGTCTTTTCAGTTTATAAGCATTGCAATCTATGTTGGGTGGGAAATCGCTTTTGCCTTGTTTGGGGTGCTTAGTAGATGGGGCTGTGACCTCCAGATGAGTATTAAAATGATGTATGTGACTGCTGCCTGATTTGACTGAAAATAGTCCATGATAGGAGAGCTGGGAAGGGCATCCAAGTGCTTGGGATGTCACTCTGGAGACCAGCTTGCTGGCTCATGCTGCCCTAGCAGGGGTGTTACTGTGGAGCCATGTTGTTTATGCTGAGCTCACTTACTGCCAGATTACATCACTTTTCAGTAAAATAACTCTGCCAGCAGAAGAATCAGAAGTGAGGACATTAGCAATTCACTACACTTAGAGCTGTAGTGCTCAGATTTCTGCTGCTGGCATAAATGATGCTTCAGGCAAAGCCATAAAACTTCCCTCTGCCCTTAGTAACACTGGATAGAAAGAGTTGAGATGGGCATTACTTCCTTCTTACCTTAGAAAAGTTGAGTGTACCCTGTGACCTGTCAGCCTTATTTAGACATGCTTAACTCCAATACTAATACTGAGCCAAAAATAGCCCAACAGACTGAAAAAAAATAATCCAAATGCTAGGTTTTGATTCAAAATAACATTGAGGTTGAGACTGTCTGAAACGCATTACTTTCTGACTAAATTAACTAGCTAATTCCAACATTCATATTAAAATGGCCATTTCCAGTGGTTATCCTCAAATGCATTTTGAAGCAGCCAAGACTAGGATTGATGCAGTAGTTAATAGGAGTGATTTTCACAGCCCTCCACTGAGACTGGTCCAGGCTCTTCCCCGAACACTTACTGCTTGTGAAATACAAGAACTTGCAGGCTTAGAAGGAAAGAATCTCCAACAAACTGCTTTTTGGATTCCCACTGTGTTTTTCAGAGACATGACCATTACCTAAGGGAATTGATGTAATGTCCCAGCAAAGGAAGAACAGACTCATGTCTCTTTTTGCCTTTCCTTACACCCTTACTTCCAAGTCAGCTGTTTTGTACATGGTATAAATTAGGGTAGAACTTGGCATGGGGCTTTCATTCACTCACGTTTAAACCTTCTGCCTCAGAAGTTATTCTTGGAGAAGAAACATGACTATCTGTCAAACACATTTGTAGTGCAACTCCACTGAAGACAATGAAGTTAGATCAGAAATTAACTTGGCATATAAACTGAGATTATCAACCACACAATTAATCAAATTCTTTCGAACTTGTGTGACTGAGGCCCTTATTCAGCTTTAAAAATCTCAGTCCATATCTTTTGGGACTTTTTTGCATGTGTGTGATATTTTGCATCTTGCTTTAGTTCTTTGTTTGGATTTAGTAACATAAATGCTCTGGCTAAATTTACAATCTGTCTGAATACACGTCTTCATGAATTTGGTGGTGTTCCAGCTAATGCAAGCTGAGTTTTTTGGGGAAGAAGGGAAGCAGGGTTTTATTTGAAAAACATCCCCCTTCCCAAAAAGCTACAAAGTTATTCTAAGAAAAATAACAGTTCAGCAGTGAAATAACTGTATGATGACTCTTATGCCATGAGAATTTTCAGCTGTAAAAAAGTCTAAAGGTGGTCTCATTATTTGACTTACGAACAAATCCATTCCTGGTGCCCTGATGATATGTCATCAGAAAACCACACTTGGCAGGAGACACCAGAGTGGTTAAAACCAAAGGCTATAACGATCAAAAGGCACTTTCACAAATGAAGCATTTAGTTTTTTTAAAGTGTGTATTTTTGTTAGAGTTCATCCCCCATTACCCTTCTCAGAGGCCTTTCACATATTGGAATTTTAGTCCCCTTGGAGCATCATGTGGTAAGTTCCAGCCTGCAGGATGGCAGTGCCACTGGATTCTGGCATGTGATGCACTGCCTCCTTATGCAGCTCTGTGTCCAGTTTTGGGAAATAATGGTTTGTTTTAAAAATAAAACCCTGAGAATTTAACTTGCTCTTGAAAGTGCAGGTCACTTGGGGGGGTCTCTGTGTGTGTGGGGGGGTGTGTGTGTTTGTAAAACATGAACTTATAATACGGAATCCTTTTCTGATCCCGATAAGTGATGGATATAAACACGTGGTCATTACTTCTGGCTCTGCATCTGTGGGCCTGGGTTTGAAGACTCAGCTTTGACAGTATGTCTGGGAATTCAGTGATGTGGGTACATGAGAGGTGAGCAAGACATCAACAGGAGGATTTCTCTGCGTTCGCTTCCTCTCTTGGACCTCACTGTGGTCACTTCTGACGTTCAGATCTAATGCAGTAAAGTAGAAGTTTACTACAGTAAATTTAATGGAGCAAAATGAGATCAGTGAGGAAAAAGGAAAGGAAGAACTGTGCCAAGTATAAAATGTTCTGGTTTATACTGTCTTGCTGTCTCAAACTCTTCATATTTTACTCAGTTTGCAGTCACTGTCTTAAGCAGTGAACTGCTCAGAAAAGTTACTGCTTATGCTTTTGTTTTTCTCTATAAGGGTACAGGGAGGTCCTCCACTAACTGACAATACAAATACAAAGACTATATATACTTTAATATATAAAGATCAATTAAATATAAATAACAAAAGTATATATTCTTTTTTATATATATACTGTATAGCAATTTATAT